CTGCTGAAAGGAGCAGGCTAGCTTTACAGGTTTCTTTACAAATTCTATACCCATGTTAAACTAAGTTCTCTCAGCACTTTTTCAGAAAGCAGGAGGAGGAGCAGTTTACTTGAAACAAGACCCCACCCGATTGCAAAGGAATTCGAAAGGTCTTCTCTTCGCTGTGGAGGAGTGCCCAGATCTGCAGTTTGACATAATGATATAACGTTGCCTAGTAACTGGTCCAGACGTCACAGCTCCCCTACCCACATTGGGGCGGGAATAGACGGATTTGGCGCCTAAAATGAACCAATCATTTTGAAAGTCAACTACTCTACCCAATCCAGTTCACCAAGCTTGCAACCTCCGAGATTCCCGAGCTCCTTCCTTTAAAAACCTCAGCCTTTTGTCTCTCCGGGCTGTTCCTCGCTGGCTTGGGGGGTGGGGGGAGCCACATTGCGCGGTGGCTCGAATAAACATCTTGCAAATTGCATCTATCTGGCCTCCTAAGTTCTCTTCATCCCCCTCTGGAAGTTAGGGTCCCCCTGGGCTTAACACTTCGAGACATCACAAGTTTCTCGTCCCTGTGATTAGTTTTATCTCACACACCTTTGGTTTTCTCTCTAAGTAAGTTACAAGGCAAAGAGAACACATTCTTTTACATTGACCAACATAAATGACATTGCATGCGTGTTTCTTTCTGCTGACCCCAGCACCAGGTGACAATGGTCTTAGTCTGAAGGACATTATTCAGCTCTCCTAGAATAACCAAATCTCTCAACTTCGTTGATCCAAAACGTCTTAAAAAAATCCTTTCGAACAGGCGTGATGGGTCAGTGGGTAAAGCCCTGATGCCTGGTGACCTGAGCAGAATCCCCATGTGTGGAACCCACGTGTGTGGAAGGACAGAACCAGCACCCCCAAACTGCTCTCTGTCCTCCATATGTGTGTGCCATGTACCAAGCTCAGGCCTGACCCCTCTGCTCCAGGGCTCTGAGCGCTTCTGTCTCCTGCCCTCAGGGCCGAAGTCCTGGCTGCTTATGGCCACTGCCTGAGGAGACACTTAAAAGGAACAAGCAAGAAACAGCGCTTGGAACTGGAAATCATGAGCCAGAGAATCATTTCAATTGTCTCTCTTGAGTATTTGCACAGAGATGGCAACTGAGTGATCAATGAGTAAAAGGGAGGAAAAGACGTTTGTGAAAACTGCTCTGTGTGTGCAAGCTTGCACATGTGTGTTCTGGAGCACGTACACACACATGTGGAGGAGAAACTGGACAGCCTGAGGTGCCCTTTCTTCGGAGCTTGTCACCTTGTCTTTTGAGGTAGGGTCTGTGCCTGGGTTGGCACTCACACCCAGTAGGCTAGCCTGGCTCGCAGTGAGCACTGGGGATCCGCCGTCTCCGCCTCCCCAGTCCTGGGTGACAAGCAGGCACACCATGTAAACGAAAACGTCTAAGGATGATCTTTAAAGCCCAGATCTTGCTCTGGTGTCTGTGGGAGAGTAACTGGCTAGCACCAGACTCAGGGACTTAAGAGGAGAGCCTCTCACAACCCAGGCGGAGCGCTGGTGTGTCTGGCCCAGGGCACACATGCAGAGTTGGGTGCCGGGTGCCGGTCTGGAGGCCTGGGATGAGTCCCCCCATCTGCCGTCTCACTGACTGACACAGTCAGGACTCACATGGATTGCCTCCTGGCACACGTCCACGTAGCCTTCCCACCGTGGTCCAGGGCTCTAGGCAAGCTGCTGCAGTTTTATGTCACCCTGAGGAGCCCCCAGTGTCTACTCCAGTGAAGCCTGCAGCTGGAATAGTGTCACGTCAGCCAGCCTCACACTCGGGACACCCAACCCTGCCTTGTGTAAGAGGAGTGTGAGAATTCCCAAGTGCGTGTTCAGGCCCCCGTCTGCTGTATGTATGTGTGTGTGTGAAGACACTTCAACACCTGGACACACAGCCACACCAGCATCACAGCCCCCACAGTGCTGGGAGAGTTGTGCAGTCAGGGAGGAGGGAGAGGCACACCCTGCTGAGGTGCTGCGGCGAGCCTCAGAGCCCAGGGAGGAGGAGGCATGGTGAGGAAGGAGCGGGAGGGAATGCAGAAGGCTGTGCTGTGGTGGCAGGGGACTCTGCTGTGTCCTCCTGGAAGCAGCAACGCCACAGCAGAGAGGACCAGAAACAGGGCGGGAGCTCTGCCTCAGCGACATCTCAATGGGCAGTGTGTGACGGGGACGGTGTGTGACGGGGACGGTGTGTGACGGGGAC